CCCCCCCCCCCCCCCAGGAAGTTTCCTTGTTTCTCTTCAAGTATGCTAAGACAAAACAGAACAAAAAACTGGACAGGAGGCCTCTGAACATGGTTGCCTCTTTGGCTTTTATAAGCCAAGTTACTAAGCAATGAAAAATGCTATCTATTGATCTCTATTAGGGAGCCTCTGTAGAGGGGGCTTCTAGCGTCCCTGTGAGTTTTGGTGTTGAGTGCAGTGAGTGATGGCTCATTCCTCAGGGACACAGCATAAAGTCCCCTTCACTGCAACTCATTCACCCATTCAATGTGACTTGATGACTTCCCGTCAGGTCATTTATTGTCCAACTTCTGACAGAAAAAAACGTTGACGTTTAAGAGGTTAGCATTTCACAAAGCCGATCATTTTATATTTCCGCTTTTTGAAAAAGAAACATAGCTTTGGGGTGGAGAATCATTAATGGCTCTCAGAACCCAAAACCGAAAATGAAAACAAGTTTTTGATTCTTGGTAACATCAGTACCAAGTTCTGAGCCTGTGTTTCCCATATTCAACTGCCTGCATTGTTTCATTTCCTGGCAATTCAGAGTGGCTAAAACAAAACTTTGTCAACCCTGATAGCGGTCCCCAAATTTTCAAAATGCATGTTACACTGCGCCCAATCATAGCTGCTCCCAAAGCAGCTAAAAAACTTTCCTCAAACTAAATGGCTCTTTGCAGCCCAGTTTAGAAAGAAAGGAAGAGCTAATCTTGCACATACGATCATGTTTAAATACAAAATAAGAATGCTCGCTCAGGAAAACATGTCCGTGTCTGGTACAGAAGATGCGTGCAGGGCGAGCCCCAGGCTCTGATCCGTGGGCTCTTTGAAAGCTGACTCTCGGCCCACAATCCTTCATCTGGCACATGGGGGCCCTTCCCCAGTTGGCAGTTGACTGGTGGGCAGCCTAGAGATTCCCCCAGAGGCCTCCACTCTTGCACTGCAGCGGGACTAACTTTTGGAGTGGAATCTGTGATGCTTCTCACCAGAATTAGTAAGAGAAAAAACATGAAGATACTTCCCCACCCACCTTCCCCCCAAAACAAGAGAAGGCGGCAGGGGGGCAAGCAAAAGGACGTGCAAGTCCAAGGGCACAGGCCCTTCTTTGACACTATGTGGTGCATCTGATTTTAGGGAGCGGGTCACGTATTTCAGCAAGATAATGTTCACTTTTTAAAAGTGAGCAATTCCGAGCAAAGGAAAAGGTCCACTTGCCGTCTCTTCTGACTCTTTCTCTAGTTGGAGCCTAAGCTCGATCAGAATAGGGAATTTTCTTGGTCTCACTAACCTGGTTTGATCATTTTTGTTTCCAATGGGAGGTCATGGTTTGAATGTAAAGAATTTTATTTGCTGTGCTATTTTAGACAGCAGTAATGAAAGGTTATGCTCTACGAAGCGGGCTAGTCCCGCCTTGGAAGCCCAAACCAAAATGAATCTTGGGTTCCTGCAAAGATTCTTTGTGGAGGCTTTGGGGGTGGGTGTGAGAGGTGGAGAAGAGGGAGAGAAGGCAGAGGACAGAGGCAGGCACCCCTTCGGGATGGGTGCTCTGTGCACCATGGCATCCACTGGGGGCCTGCTTTGAGCCTTCAAAAACCAAGGCAGACAAGAAATGCCAAGCCCCCAAGACCATAACCAAGCAGGACTAGCATTCCTGGTGGCATTGGTGCAAGGCAGGCCAGCAAGTCACTGCCCACCCCTGAGAGCCAGAGAGGAACCTGGATGCTGAGCTCAGGCATTCCAAGCTCATTCCACTAGGTTACTTGTGTTCTGAATTTCTAGAACTTTCCTGAAATAGTGGCAGCTAACATCGAGGGAGCAGCATTATTGCGTATCAGACCCTATGCTAAGGACTTTTACCTCATCTCATTTAATCCTCCCTTGCCAAGGCCCCGGACTCCACTGCCACACACTGTCTCCCTTCAGGCCCTGGGTGCTGGAGTACTACACTTCAGGGGGGCTCACGGGTGGGGGTGATGAGGGGGCTTTCCCGGGGTCCCACCTCAGGTGGAGCTGTCCAGATTCCTGTCACAGGCCCTTGGAGAGGAAAAACGGTGCGTTCACTATGTGCACAATTGCTGGCTGTTCACTGCTGCCTATGCTAAAGAGACGCGAGGCTCATTGTTAAAGGTAGAAAGCATGTCAGATCCAGTACGGGCTAAATCCAGCCTTTTCCAAGGCAGGCCTGAGTCCCCTTTCTCTCCCCTCTCAAAATTTGTCAAAACAACATCATGTGCCTCCTTGGTCTATTTCTCCGCAGCTGCCCCCTGCCCCTGTGCCGCGCGGCCTGCCTGCAGGATCAGATTCCAGGCTGTTCTGTTCTTATTCCAACTGGCCACCGTCCACATCCCTCCTCCCATGGAGCCGCACTCCAGCTCTGCAGAACTCTGCAGACTTGTTTTTGTCTTTGAGTCAACGCAGGGCTCATTTTCCAGTGGCGGGTGTTAAAGTTGAAGTTAAGTCCTAACCCTGATTTTTGCAACACCCTAAGGCATCTCTAATAGTCTTCAGGGCGGAGGGGCATCAAATTATGGCAACAATATTCATTCTGCCTCACTTTGATTAAAAACAGCCTGGAGGTAGGGTGAGGAATACAGTGAGATGATTTGGGGTCGCTGAAATCCAAAAAACCAGGGCGGGGTGTCACAATGCCAAAGAGAGTCAAAGATTCCTCCCTTGATAATTCCAGGTCCACATTCCTTATCTGTCATTTCAAGTCCAAGAAGTTCTGAAAGCCAATTTTATTTTGGTAAATTTGGTGCCAAATTATATTTGGGAGCAAAATTTGATCTGGACTTAGTTAAATAATCATATTTTTCAGCAAAAATAATAAAATGCTTCCCCAGATTCCACTGGAGCGTTGTATGATATTTGGTATGTATACCATGTTACCTTTCTAAAGTCCTAAATGTTCTGAATTTGGAAACTCATCTGGCCCCAGGGGTTTCAGGGCCAAGCCCACAAGCCTGCACTAGCCCTGGCTGAGCACATGGTGTGTGCTGGGCACTGTTCTAGGCCATTTCAGGTTAGCATCTCCTTTGTCTTCCCAGTGCCCTGTGTGATGGGGGCTATTCCTTTCTCCAGTTTCAGCTGAGGCTCAGAGGGCTTAAGTAACATTGCTCCCGGCACTGGCTCTGTCAGTGTGGATCAGGCTCGAACCTCAGTTCTGTCTGCCTCCAGTGCCCTTGCTTAACCTGCCACACTGGACTGCTGCCCTGAAGCCAGGTGGCATTTGCCTTTTCCCTTAAGTGGAAGCCAATAGTCCCTTGAAGTTGCATATTTCACTCAGCTGGTGAAGTGAAATCCCCTGAGTTGAGAAATACTAATTTGCAAATAAAAATGAGCTCCTGTAGATAGCTGAAATTGGCATTTCTGTTTACCAAGGGTTTGTTTCTCATCTCATATTTAGAAACTACTCCTTTAGAAAACCAAGATCTGCATTCAAATGCATGTCCAGTCTTTCCACGGTAACCACCATCATCCATGGGAACGGCAACACGCTCGTAAGTGCCATGTCCTTGGTAATCAGTGTTTCTAAGGCTTAGCGTGGCCATCGGGAAAACCTGGAAAGTTTGTTTACCCTGCTGGAAGTGAGAAGCAGGCACGTCCCCACCACTGGGGCTGCCATCCGTCTTTCCACAGGGCTACCGGCTTTTGCCTCAAACACTTGCCTCTTTCTTTCCTTTTCTTCCTCCTCTGGAAGAGTGACCAGGGCTGAGTTCTTGGGCCTTGAAGTTAGTGGGGAGAGGCCATGGGAAGGAATAGGGGGGCTGAGCTTGGAGGTCTGCTCAGCATGTATGGCTAGAAGAATTACAGGTTGAGAACAGAGGGCTAGAGTGACAGCACGAGAGAGCTCAAGATGGACAGAAGGAAGAGTCCTGCCTGCAAGACGAAGATGGTCCTCTTCCCTTTCCCACTAGGCCTGCAGTGATCCGGGAGGAGCAGAGCCTAGAACAGGAGGAGCTCAGGAGGCTCAGAGGCCCCATGCCTCCCGTCAACCTCTCAGCAGGCCTGGAATCTGGAGAGAGCGCTGTTTGCACTCTGTCCTGACATAGTTCTTGGTGTTGAGAACTGCATCTTAGCCCCAGAAAACAGATCTGGGGCTCCAGGTCAGGAGTTAGAGTCACAATGAAAGCAAACCCTTCGTCAGCACACACTTGGTACCAGGCCCTGTTCAAAGTGCTGTAGATGTATTAACACATTGAATCTTTCAACAACCTATCAACAACCCCATTTTGCAGAGGAGGAAACAGTAAAGGTTACTGTAGGCATGGAAGGCTCCAGAGGCAGTGCCCGGGCATGGGATTGTGAGTGTGGGCTCTGTAGCCAGGCTCCCTGCTCTGGCCCTGATGCTGTGTGACTATGGGCAACTCTGGTGACTCCTCTGTGCCTTTCTTCTCAACTGTAAAGGGAATGATAACAGCCCCCACCTCTGAGGATTAGTATGAGAAAAGGGAGAGGAAGCACTGAGTGCCGTGCCTGGCCCGTGGGCACAGGCCAGCCCTGGCTAGAAGGCAGCTCCTGGCGGCTCCCATTTGGAGAGCTCAGCCTCTGGCCTCTGCTGGCAGAGATGGCTTGAGCCCTTTATCATGCTCCTAGCCTAAGGCAGCTTGGCCGTATGGTCTTTCTCCTGAACGCTTTCTCCAACTCCCTGGAGGTCATTGGGTTGGGTGTGATTTTTACAACCCCAATCATTGAGAATTCTCCCTCTAAGCCAGCTGATCAGGCTCTGGGGCAACACAGTCAGGCTCCAAATGTACCCAATTGAAGACAAAACAAAACACAAAGGCTCACAATGTTGAATGGTGACACGTCTCCAGGCTGAGGATCTGGCCTGCTAGGGGAAGGGTTCCAGTGTTGACGCTGGTGCTCCACCGAGCTAGCTGTAGAAGTCCGTGCAAACAGATGGCAATAGCCCTATAATAAAATCAAACCGAACTGCTCCGGAACTGTAGCCAAGGGCCCCGAGCCCCCGGGGGGCCTGCCCTCTCCTGCCTGCTTCGTCTGTCTCCATGCCGCTCGCCCTGGCTACCCCCATGTGAGCTCTGCTCATTGTACGCAGCCATCAGAAGTCCAGTTCCCAGTGTCAAGCACCCTGCTTGGTCGTGCTCCCCAAGAGCTGGATGAAAAGGACACGGTCTCTATCTCCCAGGGACCGCCACAGTCGTGCTCATACACGGCTCTCAAATAAGAGGTCATCCCCTGTGGGGGATGGTGCCTGAGCCTTAAGGAGCCATAGGAGTTGGACAGAAGAGAAAAGGTAGGAAGGGAAGGCCAGGCACAGTGAATGGTGGGGGCGAAGGCCGAGATGGCACAGAGTGCTCGGAAGTCCCCAGAGGTCCATAAACTGGCTTCAGTGGCCTCCTGAGGTTCAGTGGTATGGAAATGAAACGTAAGACAGGGCCTGATGGACACTGAATCTCAGGAGGTTGGTGGGGCCAGGTTATGAGACTCTGGGGACTTCTGAGAAAGTGTGACACATGATCAGGTCACCCTTCCAGCAGGGCAACTCTTAGAGCAATAAATGGTTTATTGGGGGAAACCCATTAAGGGTCAACCAGTTATGAATGCAGACAAAGACTCAAGAGGGCCTGAGCTCGGGCAGGGATGAGATCCCTGGAAAGGAAGGACTGTGACTGACAGCATTCTGTACAGGCAGACATGTGACATGGCCCTCATGAGCCCTGCTTCCTGGTATTCGCACCTTCACGCAATCCCTGTGGCTTACATTGAGTGAGCAGAATATGGCAAACGTGGTGGAATGTTACTTCTGAGACTAGGTTATAAAGACTGTGACTTCTGACTTGATGGCACCCCCAACCCCTGCTGCCTTGCTAGCAGGCTCTCTCTTGCTCACTTGGATGAAGCCAGTTGCCATGTTGTGAGATGCTCTATGAAGAGGCCATGTGCCAAGGAAGTGAGGGAGACCTCTGGCCAATAGTTCATGAGAAACTGAGGCCACAGTCCAACAACCTACAAGGAACTGTTTCTTGCCAACAACCACGTGAGTGAACTTGGAAACAGATCCTTCTCTGTTTAGCCTTGAGATGACTGCAGCCTTACAAGAGACTCTGAGCCAGAAGACTCAGGTAAGTTGTGCCAGGATGCCTGACCCACAGATACTGTGAGGTAATACACCTGTGTGGTTTTAAGCTGATGCTTTGGGGTAATTTGTTACACAGCAATGGATCACTAATACAGGCAGGGATCAGAGCAATGAAAAGTGGGAACTGTGATAGACACCACCCAGCTAGAATCGGATGCATTTAAGTGATTGAAAAGGAGATGCAGAGGGAGAAGTCAAAAGTAATTTTGAGAAGAGCACTGGCTTGAAGACTGCCTGGCTTCAAGTTCCTGCTCTGTCCCTAGCTAACTGTGTGACTCCGGGCAAGTCATTCCCGCTCTCTGAGCCTCAGTTTCTTTGTGAAATGGAGATGATAAGAGTAGCTACCTTACAAGTGCCTGTCTTTCCTTTCAGGACCTGCCTCAGTATCCAGCACAGTGATGTGTGGCATACTGCAGTTGCTCTGCAAGTTTGCTGTGGCGTTTCTTGAAGGCTCAGTGTTTATGTTTATGCCAGCAGGGACAAGATTTAAACACTTCGGTGCAATTTCCTCGCATCCTAAGGAGCCTTCACTAGTCCCGTTACATGGGCCAGCACAGGGGAAGGCTGCACGATTCTCACTTGTCTCCCCAGCTCCTTCCCCTGGGAGCAGCTTGTGGGTGCAGTTTTCCTTCCAGAGAAAGTTAGGTGACCTGAACAGGCACTGAAATCATAACCTTGGCCTCATTAGCACTGCTTTAACCACACAGAATTAGCTGACTCAAATAGCCTTCTCCAGAGCCAAGTCCCATCTCAGAGAGGACTATAGCCTGGATCTGCCCTGCAAAGTATAGCATAAAACACAGTTCTTATTTCCAAAATGAAGGAACACAACCATATATGAGACTGTCTTACCTGTCTGGGCAGAGCAGGCATGGAATCCGAGGCCACTGATCGCTGAAAGCGCTGGGGTTGCTGCATCATCTGCTGCAGAAGGAAGGAAGAATGGTCAGGATGCTGCTGCTGCTGCTGCTGCTGCTGCTGCTGCTGCTGCAAGGTGGCAGTGGTGGTGGAGGAGGCAGTGGCAGATGAGGCCTGCGTTGGTGTCGGCTGCTGCAGGTAGTGGAGCAGGGAAGGCTGCCTAGAGGTGGTAGGCATGGAGGGCATCTTCTGGGGGCCCGGCTCAGAAACAAAATGGGACAAGGGCTTGGTGTTGCCAAAAGTAAATGGCTCTGGGGCTCCGGGGCTGGAGCTTGCCAGCCCCTGTTGCATGATCATGCTCAGGGTTTTAGATGAGTTGGTGGCCATAGGCTTAAAGATCGCGTTTGCTTGCTGCTGCTGCTGCTGCTGCTGCTGCTGTTGCTGGCTGAGCAGATTATTGGAGGGAGTGAGGCTCCGGATCAGAGAGCACTGAGGAGTGAAGGACTGCTGCGGCAAGCCTGGGCTGGAGAGCTTCTCTGGGCGATAGGGGGGGGATGGCCCAGGGTTGCTGGTGGGCAGAGCAGACATCAGGTGTCCTGGAGGGCTTTTGATGGTAGAGGATACCAGGTTGGCCAGAATGGGGCTCTGTGGGCTGAACTGCGGCTGCTGACTGAGAGCTGGGCTGGGGAGCTTCTCAGAGGCATAGGGCATGGCGGGCCCAAGGGCAGCGTTGCTGCTGGACACCATGCTTGAGAGTAAGGCATTGGCAGAGCCTTGCATAGTGTTGCCTGACAAGTTGTTGGATGACATGCAGGACACCATGAGGCTCTGAGGGCTGAATGGCTGCGGCGGCGGTGGTGGGTGTGGCGATGGCACTGGGCGGTAAGGTGGGGAGAGGCCTGGAGGAGGCAGACCAGACCAACTGGGGGTAGGCCCTTGTTGCCTTGTAGCAGATCCCTGCTTGCTGGCTGCCAATGCCTTCAGCTGGTGGGCATGATGCCACTGAGGCACTGGGAGGGGGGGCAAAGTGACAGGGAGCATGGCCTGCACCTGGTTCTTGGCCTGTGCTGTAGAAGAACTGGGTGAGACGATCTGCTTACTGGTGGAAGGGATCGAATAGCTGATCCCAGTGGAGGAGGGCGGGATCTGAAGTGACATGCCAGTGACTTGGCTGCAACTAGAAGCAAACTCCTTGCTGGAACCAAGGCTCTCCAAGTGTGGCATCTGACCTGAAGGCTTGGGAGTTGTGCCTAGGGTTGCCTGAGGCTGGTCTAAGACCAGTGGCTCTTCTGGCTTGCTCCCCAGGATCTTCTCAAGATCTAGCTCATTTGGAGAAGGTTCTTGAATTTTGGTTAGCTCCTCCAGCAGATCTTGAAGTTCCTGGTCTACAGCCGGCATGCTGTTGATTTTCTCATAGTAAGGAACCGTGGCCCCTTTCAGCCCCATTTCTGCAGTTGGTGGTACCACAAATGGTGGGCCCATAACGCTGCCATTCATGGGATTATTCTCAAGTAGTAATGACTGGCCAGCTACGCCCATAGCCGCAGGGCTAGGATTCATCGTTAATGGAGGAACCTGCAGCTCTGCACAGGGGGTACTGGGATGGGCACCTGGGCCCATAGAAAGGGTGACATCTTCAAGGCAAGGCCTCTTAATTTTATTAGGGTAACCCCCGTCAGCCATGCCTGGAAACTGGAAGTTGTCTCCTTCCTGTCTCCTCTTAATGGTTCCCTGTGGCTGAAAGAGAAGAGAGGAGAGAGAGACAGAGGAATTTTTATAAAGGCTTGGCACCTTGAAGCTAATGAACAGGAAGCCTGCAAGATAAAACAGACCTCTCAATTTAAAGACTTAGAGTTGTCAAAACTATAAAGTACAGCCTATTTTTGGAACCATAATGCTTGTTTCTTTGTTGCTGTGTTTTATTTAAACTGTCTTGTTACATTTCAAATAAGGCATTATGCTGTCTGTAAGCTAAACAGGACAGAAAGTCATGCAAAGGGTACTCTTGGCCCACTTAAGGAGAGTTCGACAAAACTATTCAGAAGTTACTAAATGAACTATGCTGCCAAAGACATGCACTTGAGAGTAAACTAGAAGAGTTAAATATTTCCCATTCCTACCTGTCTACAGACACCCCAATTTTAGAAAAGGAAAACCATAACACAGACATTGAATTTTCAGGATGCCTCCCTGTCTTGGTTAAATGCATCAGGCTGCAGTGATAAAAGAGTTAACAAGAGGGCCTTTACAGGGATGAAGTAGATCTGGGTGTGTTCTTTGGGCAGTTGTTTAAAATACATTGTTAAGGGGAAAACATTTCAGGACAGGCATCGTAGTCACCGTTCCATTTATTTTCACACATATGCGCACTCACAAGCACACACACACTGCTTATGTGCATACAAAAATCACTTGGAAGAACCTATACCCAACCATCCCTTGGGGATTACTGACAATCCCCTTCCTATTCTCTGCATTTCTGCATTGCTTGCTTATTTTAATGAGAAGGACATGTAATCCAAAACACACACACACACACACACACGCACACGCACGCACGCATGCACGCACACACACAGTATAAAGTTATCTAAATAAGAAATTCCTCTCTGCAGATGTATCCTCGGGTTGGGGAGATATCAAACAACAGGAAAAGGCCCCAATCTGGGATCTACGCCTTGGGGGAGCTGCCCACCATTTACAAAAGCATGGCCTCTGCGAACAAAGCGAAGTGGCCAGTCATGCAGGACTTCCTCTTCTCGCACAGCCTCATACAGTCATCTGCGGCTGTCGTGTTAATGCCCACGACCCGCGTGTCAGCAGGTAAAGGGGGAAAGGGAGTGGGTGTGGAGGAGTAGGTGTGGGAATGATCAAAACAAGGGAAAGAAGTGAGGAGACATGGAAGTCACCTGAATGCTGACAGGTGAACAGATATAATTCTCTTGGAGTGCTCTTTCACATCACCCTCCCCCCAAACAAAAACCTTTTTAGCTTTGGAAGTCTTACTAGGACATACTGAGCTGATTCTCTGATGTCACCTCATGTTTGGCTCTTCTGTTTTGATGAGCCTGGAGCTCACTTGGAGCTTAAGGCGTGCGTGGGGCCCGTTGCCAGCATGCCAGGGGTCATGACTCTCACGGTCGAGTGAACTCAAAGTCAATCCGCCAGGGCTGCGTGTCTCAGGCCTTGCTGCACATCAGAATCACTTAGAAACATCCAGATTCCCGGGCCCTCCCACTGCAATTGATGGCTTTAGTCTCATCTGGGGCGGGGGGCAGGCATCAGGAGGTTTTACACAGCTCCAAGGGTGATTTTAAATAGACAGCCAGGTTGAAAACCACTGGCCTAGAGCAGAGATGGAGGCATTACGGCATCGGGCCCTGGTCCCAAGGCAGACACAACCAGGTCTTGGCCTTGCCCCTTAACGTCTCTGAGCCCCAGTTTCTTGACTTTTAAAATGAGTGTAAGTATAACTCTTATCTTACGATGCTGCTCTGACTTTAACTGAAATGGGGCAGACCGTGTGGTACCTGGTAGAGCCTCACTAACTGGTACCTGGCATTACAAAGGGCAGACCTAGAAGGGCCCTGGGAGTCCCATCCCCTCCTATTGAAGATAGGAACCCTGAGATCCAGGGAGGGGGCAGGGCTTGCCCAGAGTTGCTCAGCCAGAGGGTGGCAAGGCCCAGGCCAGATGTGGGGCCCCTCCACTACCACTTCACCCATCCCGCTGGCAGGGCACTGCATCGTCCCGCAGAAGGGGCTGGCTGCTTTGGGTGAGAGGACTCGCATACTCTGACTTTCCTTTTGAGTTGCCCATGACCCAAACGAGGGGGCAGCTCTGCCACCAAATTCATCTGAGGACTGAATACCATGGGTCAGACAAGAATGAGTTGGGCAGGGGTAGAGCAGGCACAAGAAGAGGCCTATCTAGTCATCCAGGAGCCTGGCTGGCACAGTACCTGTAGTGTCCCTGAGCTAGTCTGGGGAGCAGCTCACTAAGTATTTGGCCCAAGCAGGTGCTCAGTAAATAGCAGTCAAATGAGCCAATGGACAAATGAACACAAATAACTCAGCACACGGGAGCTCGGCTATTCGATCAATTATGGAACAGCCCACAAACCAGCCACTGGATCCCAAACTGAAATTTGGTCTTTTCTACATTCTCCCAAAGAAATCCAATATATCAAAAACAGAACTGTATGAAATGGACCAATCAGGGATGACTGAGTGTGGGTTTTACCTAGGGATCCCCGCAGGGAGTCTGAGCTGGCCGTGGTTGGGCCCAGTGTGCTGTTGCTGATGTCTTGAACAGCAAGGCAGGGTTAATGATAGTGAAGTCTATGCAGAACCAGGAAGCTGAAGGATGTGGGGCTGGGGGAAGGAGGGGAGGGCAGGGGCTGTGAGGGGCAGTGGCCTAGAATCTCAGCCAGGCGAACCTCTGAGATTGGCTGGCAGATTCCGTGGGCTCCCGGAACTTTCCCTTAATTGTTGGTCTGCCATTAACCTGCTGGGACTAAGGTGGCAGAGGAGGGCAAGTCAGGGTATGACCTCTAGATGCTAAAGGTCACATTAGGGGCTCCTGGCAAAAGAAAGAAGGCTGTGCCTCTCTTAAATGGGAGCCTGTGTGCATACAACATCCAAGCAGATGGGCCCCACTGAGTTCCAATTCTAGAAACCAACCAGCTCCTCAGTTACAAAGCAGATCCCAGGATACTCCCTCAGGGTATTAAGGGGCATCGCACTGCCAGCAGATCTGATTTGCTGGAGCGGGTCCCACCTTTGCTATGGCGAGTCTGCAGCTGGACAGCTGCTGGTGCTTGCCTCATTGACCATTTTGGGAGGGTGCCTGATGAGGGAGGCAGGCTCATCTTGCTGTCGCCAGGGGTGGGGTGGGGGGTGTGTGCCGAGCTAGGCTGCTGTTTAGGCACAGTGGCAGGCTGTGAGCCTCTTCTGGGCTTTCCTTTTTCAATGCACTTAAATGAGACTCCACTTTGTCAGAAGCCGTGCGGCTCCATGTTTCAGATTTTATGGTAAGAGCTTTCAACAGTTAGCCTGAAGCATCCTGGCTGAGCAGCGATAACACCAGCCAACCCTAAGCAAGGCCGAGGACAGGCGGCTGTGTTGACACAGAAGTGCTCAGCCCCGCTGTAATAGCATCTGCTTTCAGCAGGCATCAGGGAGGCGTGGAAATCCACTATCCAGTTAATTTCACCCCGAGATAAAGGCTCGCTTCAGCGCCTCCTCTTTTACAGTCCCATGACTTGTTACTATTCTCAACTGCGAGAAGCTGGCTGGGCTTTCCCCATGCCCAGTGCCACACTGGTGCCTTCCCAGGTCACCTGGGCCAGGGGGTGCTGCTGCCGAGGTTCTGCCTGCCCAGGCTGGGCGTTTTTTACTGAATCCCATAGCCACCATTTTAATCAAGTGCAGCAGATAACTCACTGCTCTGGAATGACTTCCCCTGTCAACATCCTGGTGGGGGCGGCTGGCCCCCCATCAAGCTTCCAGACCTTTCTAAACAAGCCTTCCCGCTTCACCCATATGCTGTTTTCCAGTCTTTGTGGTCTCCGTGACAGCAAGCTATTAGTCCCAGCTACTAGCACACACTGCTTCCTTCAGGCCATGGATCGCACATGACTCTGACCTCTCACTGTGACAATAAGCCAATCGGTAGACATTGGCAGCATTTCTAGAGAGCATATCTCAACTTTCTCTTTTTACAGAATGGCATGTGATTTGCTTTCAGTTACACAGTCAGTTAAGGGATAAGGACACTAGACCCCAGGTGTCCCAACTCCCATCCAGAGCCCCCACAGGTCCTGTCTTTGGTGGTAGGGAAGGAGGAGGGAGTGAGGGACAGTGCCCCGGCATCTTTTATAAATGAATTAGTTTCTCTCTATACATAAATGCCTGCAGAGTCCCATTTCATAATCGGGCAGACAAAGCCACCAATGTGATCCCCATGACCTTATTAACATTCATTAAAATGCATTTCGAAGCATGTGATGGCTTCCCCGCCCCCTAAATAATGAGAAAACAAAGGCAACCCTTCTGATAGGGGCCAAGTTTAGCTCTGAAGTCAACATTATTTCTGGTTCTGCCTGAACAAGGACATATGGCAACTCTTCCCTTTCTACATTTTTAGTCCAGAATGACAAAAAGGGCAAAGATTTTTTGGAAGAGGTGTAGATTATAAGAATACAGTCCAGGCTCATAAAATGGGCATAAAGAGCATAAAGAATATAACTTGTGCATATTATTCTTTTCAAAGAAGTCTGGCAAGCTGTTGTTATAAAGGCTAAGTTTTGGACACTCTAGCTGGAGGTTTAACATGGACACCAATAAAAGGCCAGCAAAGAGTACGCACAGTTCCTACTGGGTAACAAGTAGGAGGTCAAAGTAATCCAGGAAAGATCAACTCAGGGAGCCTCATTTTCCCTCCAGAGGGCACTGGGCACGTAGGTCCTGGGCAAAAGTGTCAAAAAGGGGGAAATCACCTGTGGCTTATTTAGTCTCTCCTTTCTCCCCCACTAGCACCGCCAGCAGCTCAGCTCAGGCCAGTTGGCTTGCCAGTTCTCCTGTCTCTCTCTCACATGTCTGTCCATACTCCATCAACAGCTTCATTCAGCATTGTTACGTTTTCCTTCACCTCATGAGCTGCCAAGCATAGTGCTGGCCAACTACAGTAGATGCCAAGACCTCTGAGGACAAGGGTGGTTCCTAGGAGCCTTGCTC